CTGAGCACATCACAAAATCTAAACACTTAACAGTCAAAAAAGGTACATCATTCAGTGCTATGAAGAAGCTAGAAACCACAGTCTCCATGAGGCAGATTAAAACAGTCAAAAGTGAGCTAAGATACCCCATTCCTGATTTTTCTGGCCAGCTGGAGGCAGGAAATGCAGGAAAGAACTGAAGGTGGTAGGAGGGGTTGTTCTAAAAACCATCTCTTGGAGTGAAAAGAGTGGTTGGGAAAATTGGCCCTTGGTTTCATCTTTGGCATGTTTGCTGAAGGTGGTGGCCACACCTCCCAATTTTTCCCTTTTTTGTTAACAGCTTTTTTAGAGCAAAACAGGGACAGGCCAGCATGTGCCTTCTGGTCACTCCCCTGGGAGGAACCAAACAGTCAGAGGAAGGTGGGAGGCAGCAGGAAGGCAGCTGGAGCCATGGTGGGCCGTCTGTCATCCTGTTCACCACCCGCTCTGCCCACTTTGGTCTGGCTTCCTGCTGCTCTGCAGTCAGCATAGCCTCCGGGTTCTATGGAACGTGTACCCTCCTGAAAATACATATAATTTTCTAACCAGCTGCCCACCCCTTTTTTTTTTACCTCAGGAGCTAGAAACTATAAAACACTCCCCAGGTCTCTCCTCTCAGAGTTAAATTAAGTTTTTGCACTTATGCTTTTCATTTTTGGTCTTTTGGTTTATTTATTTTTCTCTGGAGGGAACACTTGCAAAGCAAAGGTAAGCAAGCAAGTCCTGAATCCTTTCTTCCTGACAGGTTTGTCAGGCTGGAGAGCACTTTTCCAGACCTGGATTTATTCTGAGTTCTGCCTGAGGAGCAATGGCACACCTGGGCCACCAGCATGGAACCCTTCCTTTCTCAAGGACTATAGATCAAGGACTGTAGATGAGTTCTAGAGTCATCAGGGTTTTCTTGGAAAGAAAAAGGTCTAGTATTTCTGTCAGATCTTCCCTTTTCCTTTTTTCTAGTCTCTTCCTCCTCTCTGTTCCCTTCACCTATAGTGATGGAATAATATATGTAGAGTGGTTTCATAAACCATATTCGCTCTAAAACTTTGGGAGATGATGCTGGAAATGATGATGATGACTCTCATGATTTATTTTTCTGGATCAAATTCTTTGGGTCCTCTTAAAAAGGTACCATACTGGGAATCCAATGAGCCTTTGAACAATGAAAGCAAATTATAGGGTGGCTCTTGATGTAGAAAGTCCTTTTGCTTTGTGCAACCATGAGCATCTTTCCTAAGTGACTTCAAAAGTGTCTAAAAGACTATGGGTCATTGTATTCTAGGAGCCAATGGCCTGGCCAATCCTCGTGATTTCTTGATACCTGTTGCCTGGTATGAAGATCGCCAAGTGCCAGGTGGTTACACTGTGATTAATAAATACCAGGGAAAGCTGTTTGCTGCCAAACAGGTAAAGAGGGTCAGTAGGCATTGGAGGGAATGAGCACCTACTGATTGCCAAGGCCAATGTTAAATACACATATTATATTGCCTCACCTTTACACCACTAAAATATTACAAATAAAATGCTGTTTGCCTTATTTGTAGCCATGAAAACAAGCCAGGTAGTGACAAATAATTTATCAAATGTCATAGTATATGGTAGAACCATATCTGTTGCTCATGTTCTTTTCATTCACCAAGAAATGAAAATCATGGGGATATAAGTAGTGGGGAAAACATAATGTAGAGACAGGGTAATATGTTCTAAAAGGGAAATGAGTTAATAGGCAGATCATCTAAGATTTATATTCACCAATGGCCACCATATTTCAAATACTAACAATACAAAACAAGTAGAACTCAAGTTAATTATCTTGATTTAGTTTATACTACCAGCCTGGTAAACTCAAGAGATAAACAAAGGCATAGATAATAATAAAAATAATAATTGTCGATCGCTGTATCTCTCACATCTATGTTTCTCTCTCTATTCCTTCCTTCATCTCTAAAATCAATAAAAATAAATAAATAATAGCAATTGTAACATGATATGTAATTTATAATATAACATGTACTAATATTAGTATATATTAAAATAAAATATAGTATATAATTAGTATATATTATATTATTACTTAATATTCTGAATATATTAGCCTAAAGTGATCATATAACAAACATAATCCAAAGATCTCTTCTGTCTACCATTATTTGTTTGCTTTATTTTTGCCCATTTGACTTATTGCTTCCATTTTGCCAAGGCATATTATTGGACAACATCGAAGGTATGCTAACCAGTAGAAGCCAATTAGTTTGACACTTAAAGTTACCCCCTGAGGACTAATGGTTACCCTCATTGATATATTATCAACCTCTTATTCTCTGGGTGATTTAGAGACCATTTGCATCAGAAATTATCAGAGAGGCTTCTTTAAAATGCAAAACCGATAACCTCTGGGGATGGGGTGTGGAAATCTATATTCATTTTAAGCATCTTCTCCCTTTTATTATTGACATACAGTTGATAAAGAACTAGACGCAGCCAGCAGCCCCACTAGTTTCCACTTTCCAAGTGGACCCTATGCTGGTTATTCTCTGTGTGAGTTCCCACTGATCCATTCTCCCTTCCCTGTCATGATCTGGGCCCTGGAGCTTGACCTACATGGACTCTATCACCCAGGCTTCCTACCCGGCTGGCTTTTGATTGGGTTCAACTAGTAAGAGGTCCTTACAGGAAATTGGCAGGCAGTTGGATTTTTTCTCTGTTTTTAATTTATCTTTATTGTTGAAAGTATTACAGATGTCCCTCTTTTTTCCCCTCAGTGAACCCCTCCATGTTGAAGTTTTTCTTCCCCCTGCTTCCTACTTCTTGTGTCTGCATCCCTTCACAATCTCAGTTCATGTTGGGTAGCCCCAGTGGTATGCTGGAGCCAGTTTATACTGGTTTGCCACCTCTTCCCAGCTTTGTGCTTGGTGACAACACATCAGTTGCTCTAAAATGATCATGGTGAGAATATTTATACCCCAGAGATGAGCAAATGCTATCCATTGGAATTTTTAAATTTTTTTCAAGATTGCTGGTTGTAAAATGTCAGCACACCACTGGGCAGCCCCTTCTTTGTGGTTTTTAGCTCTTGCTGGAGTCCTGTGACACTTCCTTCCCATATGCCACAGGTCTAGGAGTGGCAATGTCTTCCCACTCTTCCGAGGCTCAGATACCACACCACCCATCTCTAGTCAGTTCAGTTAACACTAGCCACATCTCTGTGAGTAGTCTCTCCAGTGGTCTTCAGAACATTCTGAATTGGATGCTGTTTCCAACCTTCCTATACACCGATCCTCTCCCACCCCAGGGCAGGCTGAAGAAGCATCACCTTAGGATTGCTCTGAAAACTCAAGTCCTGGGGGCTGGAGCTGTTAGAGACCCTCTCTCCCTCCTGTACTCACCACCCAGGCACGGTGTCTACTGGGTACTCCTCTAGGCAGCCATTACCTGGAGAACAGTCACAGCGAGTGCCTGTCCTTCGCACAGGAAACCCAGAGGGTAGCCCAGATGGTCTGAGAATTGCTGGCATCCACAGATTCTCACAATTGCGTTAAAAAATGTTGAAAAGGCACTACTTGGAGAATGTGCTGTGCTTCTGTTGCTGCACATGTGACCAGAGGCAGCTGCAGTTATGAACTAAAAAAATGGGGTTAGTGGCTAAACGAGGGATAGTTTGAGGGTGTGTGAAGCAACCACAGAATGATTCAGGGCTATGCTTTTCCCAAAGGATGGTATTATTAAATAATGAGAACAAAATCAAATCCAAAAAGAGAGAGTGATGCCAAGTACAAACTGGCATCACAGCTACAAAAGCATGAGGTGCTAAGATCATCTTTTCTGCTTCTTTTGCAAACAGAATGTCTCCCCGTTCAATGTCGTGGCCTGGCATGGGAACTACACCCCCTACAAGTACAACTTGGAGAACTTCATGGTCATCAACGCGGTGGCCTATGACCACGCAGTAAGTCTGGCCCCTGGGAGGGCATTGGAGAAAGGGGCACCCTTGAGTCAGAGGGGTTTACAGCAGGCCCCTACGTTCACAGTGTCACCCTTGGAAGCCTGAAATACAGTCACTTGTCACTGTGCTCACAGGAATCTGAATCACCTGCCGCAAGGCTTTGATGAAGGAGTAAATAACACAGGTAGTAAGGAAGCCAGGCCAAGACACCCAACCTGTGAACACAGCTCCATTCTCTAATTCAGTTGTCACAGTAGATGGCCAAAAACTTATTTTCTTCATAGAAAGTTTATCCCCCCCAAAAAACCAACTGCTAGTGTCAGTGATGGAGTGATAAGAAAGGAACATTTCTGGATGTGGGAAGTTCTCCATCCTGCCCACAAAATACCAAGAGTTGATTTGCTCCGGCTGCCTCCTCCAGGGTCTCCTGGCTGTTTCTAGCAGCGATGGAGCCCACGGCTCTCTTATAAAGTTACTCATAATGTTTAGTGCTTGAATTCAAACCAAGGAAATCCTAGACTAAGAACTTGGTCATATTTTTCACTCAATTAAGGGGCCACAAATAAGCCCCAGGTCTACAGTGCAGGCCCCTGAGGCCCCACATTCTTGATAAAGTGCTAGCCCTGGAGGAAAGTTCAGTTTGCAGCCTCATTCATAATAGATGAACTTAATTCACAAGCTGGAGGGATAATTAGAGCAGAAGGGAGAGAACCAAAGACAGAAAGATTACTCTGAGCCAGAGCAGCTTATCTCAGGAGGGGGGAAAGAAGACACAAAACGACCTTTCTGAATGGCAGCAACTCTGAATAAAACCAAAGAAAAAAGAAAATGAGGCATCATGCCCACAACAAAATGAAAAAGGATCCTGCGACACGGATGGAGCTTTATTTGAGCCTCGCTGCATTTCCTCTAATGGTTTCAGGTCATTTCTCACGGCAGATGAAGAAGTGTTAACTCTCACAGCAATAGGCGTTGGTGTTTTGACTTGCTGCTGTAGTTACTTTTCCAAAATTCAGATCTGATCGTTCTTCCACTGCATTAAGCAAACCTTTGCAGGCTTCCTGTGGTTTAGGATTAAGTCTGAGCTCTGAAGTGTGGTATTGAGGGTCTTCACCATCTGGCCATGGACTTGTTTTCCAGTGCCACTTCTTGCCCCTCCCTCCTCTTAATAAAACCTGTGTGCATTTGTATGCTTTTCTTGTTTTCTGTCCTTACAATACCTTTTCCTTTCTTTCCCTCCTTCCTCCTTCTTTTCTTCCTCTTTCTTCTCCCTCTTTCTCTCTCCTTTCATTCTTCAGCACCGATCTCAATTGTCACCTCCTCTTTGAAGCCTTCCCTGATCCTCTCAGGTGGAGACAGGACTCCTCCCTCTGTACTCCCTTGGGTCTCTATTTATAAAGTCAGATTGCCCTTGGCACCTTGCTGTGATTAGTTGTTCCTGCACCTGGTTTATTACTCCTTTAGTCACCTACCCCACCCTTCCACCAATAATGCTAAAGCGGGCAGGGAATAGATCTTAATCATCTCTGAATGGCATCTGAAAGCAAACATGGTCACCGATTTCAATTAAACTGAACCTCAATCTTTTCACTGAAGGATTGTATAGTTCTTCTAAAATTATAATAGTGTCCCTCAACCTACTCCCCTCTATACTATCAGACCCAAACTAGTAATGTACATGGTGTGTTCCAAATCTGAGAGTCAAACAAGGGTCAGAAAGCAATAAAGTTACCATCTGGAGTCTCTGTAACACCCTTCCCCCCCAAAAAAGAAGCAGATCCTACATTTGTACCAAAGCTTGGATATTTTATTTCTATCTCCACCTTACTCTGAGCATCCCTTTTGCCCAGAGCTCCCTGCGGTACAGCCCAGCTCTGGTCACCTGACTTCAGGCTGGGAGGCAGGCACCAGTGGTTCTCAGGCCCACCGGGTAGTACTTACATGAAATGGGCTCAGCAGGGTGAAAAGGCAGCTCAGAATCCTCCTAGCTGGTGTTAATTCATTTTGCTTCCAGCACAGCAAGAGGGGAAGGTCAGATGAGTGATGACTGCACCTTGATGGCAAGCCGAGACTTCTCAGCCTGGCCAGTGTGGTGTGACCAGAAATTAGAGTGTCCCTCAAAACCCCTTCTGTGTGGGAGCCACGTGTGTCATCATCCAGCCACTCCCTCTCCCCCTGTGCTCAGCCTCTCCTTGTGCTTTCGCAGGACCCGTCCATTTTCACAGTACTGACGGCCAAGTCTCTCCGCCCTGGAGTGGCCATCGCTGATTTTGTCATCTTCCCACCTCGATGGGGGGTCGCTGATAAGACCTTCAGGCCTCCTTATTACCACAGTAAGTCTCTCTCTCGCCAAGTCACATTTGGGAACCAAAGAGACAGCAAAGCAATGAGCATTGCCCATTGGGAATACTGCCGGAGGTGTTTCTGGACGCCCTGCCCTGGCTGGAGTCCAGGACCCTGCCTCCTGAGGCCTTTAGCTGCTTAAATAGCACAACTTCCCCGTGGGATGGCAACGATGTGCTGACCCTGAGGAGGAAACACTTTGTAAAGCCTAAGCCCAGTTCCTCTGGCCCTGAAGAGAGGTAGAAAGGTTGATGAAGTGTGAAGCAAGAAGTTCTTTACATTCAGATGCTTTTGGGGGGGAGCGTCAGGGAGGGGTGGTGGGAGAGAGAATGTGTTGTTTTGAGAAACCTCATTATCTAAATCTGGTGCAAGAACCAGTAAAATGTGCCTTCTCGAATTATTTTGACCAGGTAGAGCAGACTACAGTCCACTCTAAGGGCGGGACCCTATTCTGGAAGCAGTTTCTGCAAAGCATTTGTTGCCTAAAAGAGAACTTATGAAATCTATCATTTTTATTTTATTAATATTCTTATTACTAGCAGCTAACAATTATTGACCATGTTCTATGGCTCTGTTATTAGTTCTTTAAAAGTATTAACTCAGTTAATTCTCATAACAGTTGTCAGAGATAAGTAGCATCCTTATCCCCTTTGTTTTCAGAGGATGGAACTGAGACGAGAAGGATTAGGTACTTGCTCAAGGCCTCACAGCTAGTCAAGTGGTGGAATCAGGATTGAATTGCAGGCCATCTGATGCCAGAGCAGATGCTCATGACCACTCACCAATGCACCTGGCACAGGGCTGGTACATGATATGCATGTAATAGATATTTGCTCAGTAAGTGAATGCATCACCAAGTACTTCATGGCTGGACTTAATGAGGCTGGCATTTTTAATTGTGCAGTAGCTAGCTGTAAATTCAACCTAAAGGTCAATGTACAATTCCACCTCCTGGAGGTTGCATTTTGTACATGGAATTCTGGAAAAAATCTGAGCAGGAGCATTCTGTTGTTGTTATTGTTGTTGTTTTTGTTAATCCTCATCTGAGGATATTTTTTCCATTGATTTTTATAGAGAGTGGGACTGAGAAAGACACATTGATTGGTTACCTCCCACACGTGCCCAGACCAGGGCCAGGGTTTGAGCCTGAAACCGAGGTACACGTATAGGCCCTTGACTGGAATTGAACCCCAGACCCTTCCGTCTGTGGGCCGATGCTCCAACAACTGAGCAGGAACATTCCTAAAACAAACCACCTTCCCTAGTTAACCTCAGGGCCTTCTGTCTATATGAGGCTCCTCTCTGTAGTACCAGCTCCCAAGATGCCAGGGCAACAGGATAGAAAGGTGCACTGAGCGGGCAATGTAGGCATTTGCAGAAGCCCTCAGAGTGGAAGGCCACTTCATGGTCAAATCCCAGCACATTTTCAGGTGACACCATTATGATTGAGAAAAGGATTCAATTAGTTACCATGACAAAAAAAAAAAAAATTAGTTACCATGACAAAGACACCAGATGCTTTTGAATAAAGTTGTAATAAACTATGTCCTTTCTGAAGAGTGTCAAGCCCATCATAGGCCCTAACTGTCCTTCTGAAAATTCATCCCCAAGAGGCCGTGTTGTCAAGGAGCGAGACCTGCTCTGGCCTAGAGCCTGTACCTCACATGCTAGTCCTTGATAACTCCCCATTTTACGTGGTTCTTGTATTGAGATTGCTCTGTGTGCAACTGAGAACGTTAGCAGGTTCTCAGTGTTAGTCAGGCTATAAGAGGACTTATTGAAACACACATTCCTGGGCCCCTCCCTCGACTTTCTGCTTGAGTATGTCTAGGGCCCAACAATTTACATTGATCACAAGTTCCCACGTGAAGCTGATGCTACTGCTCCAGGGACCATAGCTGTTCAATGTTTATTCCCAGGGCCCACTCCCAGGGAGGTTAATTAGTTGGTTTTGAGGAGGAACCTCAATCTGCATGTGCACGAGCCAGTCAGGAGTTCTGAGGCAGGAGGTGTGCAGTTCTGTGTTGAGAAACAGCAGCCTCGGGCCGTCTCCCCACCCAGGGTGAGGGACAGCAGAGCAGCCTGACTCAGACAAGTCTGCTACCTGTGCCACAGCTTCAACCCACTCCTTGATTTTGGTTAGTAGCTCAGATTGCCTGAAACAAAATAGCCTCGTGAAATTCTTCTTACAATTTTTTAAAAGACTCTCAAGTGAATTGGGCCCTGGATAGATAGATCTCCAGAAAGGTACGGTTGCCCCAAGTTAGTTGGAAAAACCATAGAACCCCACGTTAGAAATTATTTTTCACCAGAGATTTTTAAGACGCTGCTTTAGTAATCATCAGAATCGTGCTACTTTGATGTGACTTTATAGGAGAAGTGGAGAATTATTTGTGTAGGAACATTGCATCCGGTCATCTTAATGCACCTTGGTCAACTGGTTTCAGCATTAATCAGAAAGGCAAGGTCTACCTCCCACTGTCCTTTGAAATATAGAAAATGATATAGAAATGTCATTACCAAACTCATTGCTACCTAAATTAATATTCAGATCAAAGCTGAATTCTGTCTTGCTCTCTTCTTAAATTAGGCTGTGACGGTGACCCTGAGTACACACACTCTGGAGTGAGGAGTGACAGTATATTTAAATCATGAGCAGAACTGCTTTTAAAAAGCATAAAGACTTTATGCTTACAGTTGGATCTTTTCTTCTATTTCCACTTCATGGAGAAACAAATGGGGCTATGACCGGGTCTTACCTTTTCTGCAGGGCTTATAGCAGCATTGTGTTGTCTGGGCAGGGAGGGTATGGCTGCTCAGTCAATTACAGAATTATTTCAGCACTTGGTTGTACTTCACATGCAAGGAAGAGGGGTTGGACATTTATAATGTCAAATGTTTGACTGTGCAAGGGTTGCCACTGCCATATCTCTCTACTCTGTTCATCATTTGTACTCTTAGCGCTCTCTTGGGACAGACTGTGAGTAATTTTAGACAGGATATTTCTTATTCATTTCCATCAGTACTTAGCACAGTGTTCAATTATATATATTGGATGGATGGATTGGTAGATGGAATGGGTGAGACATAGACAGATGAATGGATGAGTGGGTAGGTGGGTGGATGAATGGAAAGGCACTTAAATTTACTCAGGTGTTATATTTCTTTAATTATTGCTCTAAATGTGTTGCTATCCTAATAAAAAGCTTCATTTCAATAGAAACCTACTTTCGAAAGAGTGGGAATATGGTGATTTTTGTCAAATTTTGTGTGACTTCAGAAAACACAACTAGGACCAGTATATATAATTTATGTGATAGCAAATTTCCATTTAATATGAGAGAAGTTTTTAACACTCTAAGCTTTGTTGAGTAGAGCACTTAGGTAGTTTAGAGCTCAGTAGCTTTGTTGAGTACAGAGCTTCCATGCGCAGGAGGCATGCAGGCTGAGCACAGGAGATGATCTGTCGGGAATGATATAGAAAATTCTTCTGTATTGAGTAGAAGTAAGGATCCCTTCCAATTTTAAGATTTTAGAATTCTATGAGGATGATGTCAATGGAAATAGAAAAGGATGACTCTAATGGCCATTTTTAAGATTGAAAGAATAAGATGATATCAGATTCAGATATAGAAGATAGTATTTGTTAGACTATAGCATTTATGGACTGGGTTTTACAAATACTAAGACCCTTTTACACAGGTTATCATTTGATAATAAAATCTAAGTCCAGAGTTCTTTCCATTGCATCACCCTTACACACACACACACACACACACACACACACACACACACACCACTTCATTGTTCCAGATTGGGAACTAGAAATATGGTGATATATGTGTTACTGTGGGGTTATTTGGGAAGCAACTCAGATCATAAAAGAAGATAATTTTGATATGAGGCTTGTAAGCCTAAATGAAAGAGTACATCCACTTTTTATTACAATGTACATTTTATTGTTATTATTATAAGAATTCTTGTCTGGGCTCTGCTTTTCTTTAGATCTAGTCTATTTTCTTTCGGGCAGTGGAATACAAGATCTCTGCTAATCCACATGGCCAGGAGGGAGTAGGGCTCTGCCTACCAAGAATTCCACACTAATGAATGTTTTGTGTTTATTCCTTTGTCAATCTGTATTCTTTATTAATCTTATAAATGTATCAGATTCTCCTATCTTCTTGTCATTCTGTGGAAATAATGTTTGAAGGGTCTTAACGTCTATGGGTCTGCTTTGGATAATAAAAATAATACTGCTTCCAGCCCTAACTGGTTTGGCTCAGTGGATAGAGCGTTGGCCTGCGGAATGAAGGGTCCCAGGTTCGATTCCGGTCAAGGGCATGTACCTTGGTTGTGGGCACATCCCCAGTAGGGAGTGTGCAGGAGGCAACTGATCGATGTTTCTCCCACTTGTTTATTTTCTCTTTCTCTCTCCCTCAAATCAGTAAACATATCTTGGGTTAGTATTAAACAAACAAACAAAATAATTGGCTGTATTAGAGAATAGACCTTAGAAAATGAATTCCTTCTTTTACAGCAGCGTAGTATTCCATTGTGTAGATGTACCACAGTTTTCCAATCCATTCATCTACTGATGGGCACTTAGGCTGTTTCCAGATCTTAGCTATGGTTCTCATTGATGTTTCTAACTCTCCCTCTCCCTTCCTCTCTGTAAAACCTCAATAAAATATATTTTAAAAAATAATACTGCTTCCACCTTCCCAGGGAACTGCATGAGTGAATTCATGGGGCTCATCAAAGGTCATTATGAGGCAAAAGAAGGTGGGTTCCTGCCAGGAGGAGGCAGCCTGCACAGCACCATGACTCCCCACGGGCCTGATGCCGAGTGCTTTGAGAAGGCCAGTAAAGCCAAGTTGGTACCTGAGAGGATTGCTGATGGCACCATGGTAAGCAAGTTAAATGCCAAGCCCTGGTGGGCTCTGGACTCCCCAGTCTTGTTGAGAGAAGTGTCTACTTTTTTATCTCTCCAAAATCACAGAGGAGGAGTCAGGAGAGGAGAGTGTGTGTCTGTGTGCCTTTCCCATGTGCAACCCGCTGTGTGTATACTAGACTCCCAATGTAGTGAGGGTAGAAAGAACTTTGGACTTGGAGTCAGGCCTGGGTTCAAATCCTAGCTCTTTTTAAAAAATATTTGTCTTCTTTATTGATTAAGGTATTACATATGTGTCCTTATCCCTCCATTGCCCCCACACCCCAAATCCTAGCTCTTAGTTCCTGTGTGCCCTTGAGTAAGTCACTTAAATTCTCTGCTTCATTTCCCCCATCTGTAGAGTGGGTATGGTATCCAACCTGGCAGGTGGCTATAATTTAACTTTAAAGACTGTCCGGCACTGTTCCAATGTAAGGGTGTATATTTAATACTGTGGGAAGGATCTTCCCTTATCTGCCTGCATCCCTGTGTATGGTTGCTTGTCTCAGAATCGCCTCCTGCTTCTGAAGTGCTCCTATAGGGCCACAGTAGCAGAAGACGCAGATGTCACCTTCAGCCAGGTTCTCAAGCCCAGGAGGGTCAGGCCTGTGAGCAGCAGTTCTCTGCTGTTTTCTCATTTTCTGTTGCTCTCCTCTGGCATGGGATGAAACTGATGGGATTTAAAACCTGTTTTGTATTCCTCTTGAGTCCGGCTGTAAACATTGAGGCTGAACACAATTGCAGACGGCTGCGGTTCTTAATTTTATTTTAGTTTTGCATTCTTGGAGTTAAAGTTTATGGACCACAAGGAGTAATTTTATGCTGAATCATACCCAAATTTGCATGGTCTTTTTCAACAAATGCTTTTAATGCTACCTGGCTTTAAAATCAATAGCACAGACCCACCTGACTCCATGCCCAATTTGCAAACTACCTAAGCAGGGAGCTTTATCTGTCCCTCTGTACAGTGCAGTTTGCTTTTAGTCCCACTCCTGGGGCCCGAGTTGGTGCAGCTGGTCTGCAGGGGGAGGCTGAGAAGAGTCTTATCTGCTTGACCTCAGCTCTGCTGCCCCTTGTAAGGGCCTCTGTGTGGTTTTGTACACCCCTGCTTCTCCATGAGGCATGGTCTGAGGATATCAGTTATGCTTTTCCCTCTGAAGGCTCCTGGAGGTGCACAGGCCACTCCAGGGTTGCCATTCTATAAACTTAGGGGTAGTCAGTGTTACCAGGGAGCAGTGTTCTGCACCAGCGAGTCCTGGGACAGGGCTGCTTTCATGAGAGCATGGCTAGGGCTCAGAGCACAGATGAGGAAGTGCTCTCCTATGCGGGGGCCACATGGGCTGGGAGGCCTGAGTAGCCAGGAAGTCCAGACTGCCTGGTGGGAGAGGGCCCAACACCTTATCTAGACCTAACTTTGGGCCTCCCTCACTATTTCTCATTGTGTAATTTGGACCCAGGCCCATCTATATGCCTCATTCTTATTCCAGTTTGGAATAAATTAACTTTATGCAATACTGTCTTCATAGCTCAGTGGGGCTGGGGTTTTGTTACTCCAGGCAGACAGCAAGGCTCCTAAGAAGCAGTCAGCCAAGAGACAATAATAATAATGGCCATGAGAACAACCCTTATATCTGAATAGTGCTTTATACCGCGTAAGGCACTTCCACAGGATCTCACCCCGCCCTCATGTCAAGCCTGTCCCGGGAAGTCAGGCAGGGACAATCATCTCCATTGTTTTAGGCAAAAAGCAGTTAATTATATTGGACACCAAACCGTAATGTGGGGCACAGAGAATTTTTAGTTCCTTTTTGCCCATCTATATTTTTGAAATTTCTAATAATGTAAGCACGTAAGAATTGTAGGATCTTATTTTGTTTGGTTGGTTTTTATCATTTTAAAAAGCCACAGCCAGTAGGAAATTTAGCCATCGGTGAAGCTGGAATGTCTACAGTGCACAGAGCACTTACATGTTCTTACTGTGGCAGACAAAATCCTCCTGAACACACGGGACATCCACCATTCATTCCCTTCTGGGTTAGAGTTTCTAAAGGAACAACAGCCATTCCTGCCTCCTACTTCTCTTCTCCTCACTCTCTCTTTTCCTCCTTTTCTTTTTCCCAACTCATATCTTGATTAGAGTCCCGAAAAATAAAGCTTTTCCTCTTCTTGCTATCATCACCTTAGACAAGTCATTTCCCAGGGGCTGAGCCTTGGTGTCCACCTCTGCAAAATGGGGCGTGTGACCTCCCTCACACGGGCATAGCCACAGTCAATGACAGCCTCCGAGAGGGTGAATATTACTAGGAATCTCTCCCACCTCTCTCCTTGGATCCAGCAAATTTAGCTCCATAACACTGCAAGGACAATGTGAGGCTTATGTGTCCAATTTCATTTTATAGAATGAAACTGGAGGCACTGAGAAATTCGAGGCCTTCCGTAAGGTATCGCCCACGTATGATGGTGGGGTCAGAGCCAGAAGCCAGTTGCCTGGGCCTGCTCTCCACCCCATGCTAGCATACAAGACTTATTATTCAGAGATTCTGCCTACTCACCCCTTGTCTCTTGAAATCTAGTCAGATGTGCTTTGTTATCCATCTCATCTTTTCTTTCCCATCATCTCCTACAGGCGTTTATGTTTGAGTCTTCTCTAAGCATGGCCGTCACCAAGTGGGGGCTCAAGACCTCTCACTGTTTGGATGACAACTACTACAAGTGCTGGGAGCCTCTCAAGAGCCACTTTACCCCCAATTCCAGGAGCCCAGCAGGACCTAAGTGAGACGGGAGCATTGCTGCCCAGTTGAGAATGGATTTGTTTCTCTTAGAATCTGATGACTTCTGGCAGTATCGGGAGAGGGGGCGGGTTAAAATGAGAACTCACATTTTGATAGTCAAGTGACTGAGACATTGGTAGAAATGTATTTGGAAAGTTCTATGGCTGTCCGCTTAATTATTCAATAAATACTTCCTGGTGTTGTGTGGAAGTGGCAATTGGTCCTAATCAGCACTGGATGGAGCAGGCCTGTGGCAGCCAGGACTGGAGTCCACGCCATTGGACTGAGACTCCTTCGCGTGCACTTAGCCTGAGATTCTTTACTCCAGAAGCACGAGTCCAGGGCATCTGTCACAGACCACAAGACCAAGTTACAAGGAAGGACAGGCCAACATAAGGACCAGGAGTTCAGGCTGAAGCCACGGCCAAGGTCCCAGGAATCAGCTCAAGCATGGGGAAGCAAAGGGGGTCAGCAGAGCTTTAAGCATCTAGTGTCATCCTTAAACAAATGGGCAGCCAGGGCAGCCACTGTCTAATCGTAGTCACACAGCAGCCAGTACAGTGATAATGGACAAGAAGCTCAGCCACTGAGAGTGAGCATCATTCACCGAGGGCTCCAACTGCCCTGATTTTCACACGGAAAGCCCCACATCCCAGAAAACCCCTCAGTTTTGGTCCAAGGAGGACAGTTAGTCACCCTACTATTCACTTACCTATCAGCCCATTTGCTAACCATGCATTGAGTCCTTACTATGTGCCAGCTACAGAGTGAGACGCTGGGGATGAATGATTGAAAAGGAAGAGGTGAGCGGGGAGATTTGGGCCGAAGACAACCAAGGGCTGCTGTGCTTGGACCACAACAAAACAGGCAATGCTGGGTGGGAAAGCTGCTCCTAACAGCGCCCTTCCCATGGCCAGCGTTCCCCCAGAGCACTGGGCTGCCCAGAGCTTTGAGTTGATTAGATTCTCCTGGAATGAGGAGACAGGCACATCAGAACAGAAAGGAATGGGAAGTGGCATTTAGTTCTGTCGTTTTAGCACATTTCCCCCACTTTGTTGCCATAGTAGCAATGTTCATATGCTGCTACCAGATTTTTGTTCAGTGATGTGTAGTGAGAGTCAGCCATGTGTCAGGGTCTAGGAACTAGGGTTGCCAGATAAAATACAAGATGCCCAGTTAAATTGGAATTTCAAGTAAACCCCGAGTAATTGAATATGTGCTTTGGACATACTTGTACTAAAAAATTATTCAGGATTTATCTGGAATTTAACTGGGAAGGCTGTATTTTTATTTGCTCGATCTGGCAACCCGGTGAAGGATATGGTGGTCAAGCAGATAGACGTGTCCCTTACCCTTACAGAGGTTATGTTCTAGAGAGGGAGACAGATGAAACAACATAAAAACAAGCTATGAAAACATGCCAAGAAGAAAACAAACAGGAACTGAATTGGGAGTAACAGCTGGGATGGGGAGATCTTTCATTAGAGAGGGAAGTCTTCAACGAAGAAGTGACATTTAGCCAGACCTAAGGGATAGGAAGGAACAAGTCATTGGAGGAGGAGGGTTGGGCAGGAGTGGGGTCAGGAGGAGGAGCATTCTAAGAAAAGGCCTTGTAGGTTCAAGAAACTCAAAGGAAAGTGGGTGTGGGGCACCCAGAAGTGACCGTGGTGATAGTGCAGGAAAAAGGCAACGTTGTCCTGGACCCATGAGGTTGCAGCAGAGACCAACATTGATGAATTCCCGAATGTTAAGTGAGGACATAATGTTGCTACATGTGCTACATGTGTCCATGGTGGCAATTCTGCTAACCACCCCCTATTAGCTTCCTTCCCTCCCACTCCCCACTCTCCCTGGGCTCATCTCCCAAACAACCCACACTAAGACAACCACTGAAATATTTCATTCCTAAACTCAGCCTTTTCACAATGAGCTCTATCTAACCCTGCCTCTATACATACCTAAACTCTCACCTATTTAGGTCCATTTTGTCATCTAGCCTTCAATTAGATATTATCAACTTCATAGAATTGCAGCAAAGCCTTCCCAGAGCTAAGGCAATGTTCTGGGTTTGCATCCATTTAGCATCAAAGCCCATGTACTTTCTCCCCACTGCTGGCAGCAGCTCGTCAGCTGGAGACAATATTTCACCCAAGCCAGGCTGTTCACACTAATTAAAAAAAGATTTAGTTTTCTCCTGTTGTGCTTCAGATCAGCTAGAAAGATCTGTATCGTTCCCTTAATTCCCTATTTTCGAATATCATCGTTTCCTTTGCTGTTTCCTTATAACGATGAGATGCCACAGAAACCTAACTCTTGTTTATAGCAGTGAGCCTCTGGTAACATTTGTTTCATTATTTGTCGTTTCACTTCAAGTCACAGAACCTATTGACAACATTTAGTGAGGACTTACTGTACCTTCCTCTACTAGGCTCCCCAAGAAACATTATCTTTTTGCTTAGAAATAGAAAATCTCTTTTATGAAAAGGCACCCTGACGAGGTTTCCTCCTATGACAGGATGGTTTCTGCCAGATCCCCTTGGCATATTTATATATTTTCCTGTGGGAGAGGGTGCGATAGAAGCCACCCTTCTCTTTTTTCTTATTGAGAGACTTCTCTCACAGCCAGGATACTGGTAATGGCTGTAGGCCAATGGTTCTCAACATGGAGGAATTTGCACCCCCGACCCTGACAGCTGGCAAAGTCTAGAGCAGTGGTTCTCAACCTTGGCTGCACATTAGAATCACCTGGAATTCTTTTTAAAATTCTGATTTCTGGGCCTCATCCTCTGGAAATTCTGTTTCTTTGTTATGGGGTGGGGCCAAAACATTAGTAACAAAGAAACAGAATTTCCGGAGGATGAGGCCCAGAAATCAGGATTTTTAAAAGATTCCCAGGTGATTCTAATGTGCAGCCAAGGTTGAGAACTACTGGTCTAGAGACATTTTTGGTTGTCACAACTGGGGAGGGTGCTACTGGCATCTAACAGGTAAAGGCTAGAGATGCAGGTAAACATTTTACAATGGAATGATCTGGACTAATTCATTCTACTATAGTTGAGTGTCCATAGTGCCAACGTTGAGAAAGCCTGCTCTGGATACAGTGGTTGTCAACTTCAGCTGTTCACTGGATCCCCTGGTGGCATCTAAAACTCCAAGTGCCCAGGCTATACCTCAGATCAACTAAATTAGAAACACTGGACATGGAACCCAAATGAGATTTTTTTTTGGCAACCGCTCAGGTGATCCCAATTGCACAGGCAAGGCTGAGGACCAGGGTTATTGGGGCGGGGCGGGGGGGAGGGAAATGTTTAGTTCTTCAATATTGAATATTAAAAGGTAGACCTCAAAGCAACAACTTGTTTTTCCCCTCCTTTCGGTGGATTTTGATCCTGACATGCTTGTTTTTAAGCATAATTATTAGATACTTACTAATATAACAGCCATTATATATGAATTTAATTTGTTTGGGAGAGTAGTAACAAAGGAATCCAGACCGTGCTTTCATAGCTGAATGAGTCTGAGAAGTGCTTTCACCTCACTGTTTTAGAAACTACTTTAAAATCATTATACAAAGCACCCTCTGTTCCAACCTCAAATCCTGGTCCAAACCAGGCTTTCCTAGGCTCTACAGAAAGGAGGTGAAAAAAAGCTCCCTACACCTCCCAATGGTCCAGTAAACATGGAACAGGTTGGAATGTGTAGTGAGGGATTATCCAGGAGGAAAAGCAGGTTACAAGGCAGCGGGGAGGGGCTCGGTGGGGAGCGTAGGGAGAAGGGGGAAGTTAGGAAACCGAAGGCCTAGATGTAAACTGCTTAGAAGTTATAAATTCATGTGCAGTTTCTGGGTTGAGATTTTACAGAGTGATGACAGAGTTATCACTTCTGGGGTTTTGTCCTTCTGGAAAGATATTTTACTACTAAGATGAAAATGAAAAAAAAAAAAGATTAAAGGATCCACAGGGGTACTTTTCTATTAAAAAAAAAAAGAAGAAGAAAAAAAATACTTGAGAGCTGACATTTAGATGTCTTCTATTTATTTATCAGTTAACCTTCAATTAGCTATTATCAGCTTCATATAATTGCATCACTAATCTGAGGTATGTCCAAATTTATTTGTGTCAGGGGGAGCCTGGGTCACTAATGTGGTACATAGTTAAGAGCATAAATTCTAGATCCATACGGCCTGGGTTCAAATCCAGGCTCTATCCCGTCTTAATTGTGTGGCCCTGAGCAAGTTTCTTAATCTCTCTTAGTCTGTTTCCTCAGCTGTAAAATGTGGAAAATGATAGTATATACCTCATAGTATTAGTGTGAGTATAAAATGAACCAATACAGATAAATTGCTTAGAATAGTACATCACATAATGAGTATGAAAAGCAAGGTTTTCAGGGTTATTGGTTGGGGAGGGGGGATATTTTGATCTTCACATGCTTGTTTTTAAGTATAATTATTAGATACGTATTAATATAATAGCCATTGTATATGGATTTAATTTGTTTGGAATAATAGTAACTAAGGAATCCAGACCGTGTTTCCATAGCTGAATGAGTTGGAACAAGTGGCTTCACCTCTCTAAGTCTGACTTTCCTCATTTGAAAGAAGGAAATGATTTCTTTCACAGGGATTTGGTGGGGGTGGGGAGTGGGGAGTGTGAGACCAGGCATTAAAGTCACCCACACTGCTTTCCAAGCAGTGAGCATAGACATATATCAGCTATTGTTATTGTTAATTGCTGCTATTGTGACTCAGTGAATATTTATTAGTTCCTGCCTCACAGAGGCTATTGTGCCACCTACTATAGGAGACACTGGAATGAGTAAGCAAAGGTCCTTGTCCCCAGATAAACTAGCACTGAGCTGAAGATTAAGGTCTGTGTGTACCCTTCTAATGCAATAAGTAACAGAAGTTCAAAGTGTGGAAAATTTAGAAGTACTGCCTCCTTTTCATCATCTTCTAGATCTTTAAACAAGAAAAACATATTGAGATCAATGGCACATAATAGGTGTTATACTGCCCCCTCAAAAGGGTATATTGTATAAGATTTAATTTTATATAAATTCTGAGATCCATGAAAAAAAGAGAAAGTCTTACAGTAGGGCCTCGACTTAGGAGTTTAATTCGTTCTGGGACCAAGCTCATTAAGGAGCTCGTTAACTCAAATTACTCTATCAACTCAATGCAAAAAAAAATCGGCTGAGAGACACTGGTATCTCAAAAAACTCGTTAGTGGGGACACTC